CGAGGGGTGCAGCCTCAGGTCCCCTGGCCAGGTGCTGGACAAGGGGCACAGCTTCAGGTTCCCCGGTGCTGGGGGGGGGTGAGCATAGCCTCAGGTCCGCCAGCCCAGTGCCAGGTGAGAACCCACCTTGAGGTTCCCTGTCAAGTTCCACTGGATGGGGGGCACGGCCTCAGGTCCCCCATCGGGAGGGGGAGGGGGCCACACCTTGAAGTCCACCATCAGGCCCTGCCTGGAGGGTTGGGGGGGCACAGCCTGAGGTCCCCTGTCAAGCTGCAGCCTAAGCTATCATTACCCAGCAAAGCTATCATTCAGAATTGAAGGTCAAATAAAGAGCATCACAGACAAGAAAAAGTTAATGGAGTTCATCAACACCAAACCAGAATTACATGAAATGCTGAAGGGTATTCTTTAAGGAGAGGAAGAAGAAGAAAAAAGTAAAGGTAAAAATTATGAACAACAAAAAGACATAATATGCATACCTACCAACAAGCAAACCTAAAAATCAAGTGAATAAAAAATCTGAAGAACAAAATGGACTAGTGAATATAATACAATCAGGGACATAGAAAGGGATTGGACTAACAATTCTCAGGGGGTGAGGGAAGAGATTGGACAAGAATCTTACATCTATGGATGAAGACAGTGGCGGGGGGTAAAGACATGGGGTGGAGTTAGGGATCAGGTGGAGGGGAGCTATGGGGGAAGAGGAGGGAAAGAGGAACACCTGTAATAATTTGAACAATAAAGATTAAAAAAAAAAAAAAAGACAAATTGTGTGCCGAGCAAAAGGCTGGCTCCCTGCTTCAGAGCCATGCTGCTGGCCTGGGAGACCACTGACTCATGTATGCCAGCCTTTGTCCTCACAGCACATGTTTCCTGAGCACAAACCATTTGGCCTTAGTCTTCATTTTGGGATTCCTAGTGTTTAATTTAAATACTAAAGAAAAGCCGAAACCAGTTTGGCTCAGTGGTAGAGTGTCTATCTGCAGACTGAAAGGTCCCAGGTTCAATTCTGGTCAAGGGCATGTACATTGGTTGTGGGCACATCCCTGGTAGGGGGTGTGCAAGAGGCAGCTGGTCTCTCATCGATGTTTCTAGCTCTCTATCCCTCTCTCCTCCTCTCTGAAAAAATCAATAAAATATCTTTAAAAATAAATAAATAAATACTAAAGAAAAGCCAACTATCATTTTAAGAAAAAAAGAAATTTGAAATGGATGATCATGTCCATGGTTAGGAGTGACATAGGTTTAATATCAAGATGTATGATTCCTTGAGGAATGATTTTTGTGATTTCACTGTTAATTAGTGATCCGAGGAAAAGGAATTCAAAGAAATTTAGACTGTGGCCAAAACCTGTTTGGCTCAGTGAATAGAGCGTCGGCCTGCGGACTGAAGGGTCCCGGGTTCAATTCCGGTCAGGGGCATGTACATTGGTTGCGGGCACATCCCCAATAGGGGGTGTGCAAGAGGCAGCTGGTCGATGTTTCTCTCTCATCGATGTTTCTAGCTCTCTATTCCTCTCCCTTCCTTTCTGTAAAAAATCAGTAAAATATATTTTATTAATAAATAGCCGAAACCAGTTTGGCTCAGTGGTAGAGCGTCGGTCTGCGGACTGAAAGGTCCCAGGTTCGATTCCGGTCAGGGGCATGTACGTTGGTTGCGGGCACATCCCCAGTAGGGGGCATGCAGGAGGCAGCTAGTCGATGTTTCTCTCTTCATTGACGTTCTAGCTCTCTATCTCTCTCCCTTCCTCTTTGTAAAAAATCAATAAAATATATTTTAAAACACACACACACACACACACACAAAAACTAAGCTTTCAAAACTCAAGAAGTTGTGAAACTAGCGTTCTGAACACAGCAGTACTACTCATTGGTATTACTATAATTATGATTTCAGATGGAAATTGAAAATCTAAAATTTTCATATGGCAAATAATAGGCTTGCCTAACCTGTTTGTCAGAAAAAGTTAGATAAGGCTCGGTTTGTGTGAGAGCAGTTTTGCTTTTGTTTTTTAAACAAAAGCCACAAAGATCCTCTCATCATCTGTGTTGGACAGTACAACATTTCCGTTGGTCAGACTTGGAAAACATTGTCTGCCAGCGTAGATGGGCATGAGAGGTGATGCTGGGTATCTCCTTCGTTTCACACCTTTTGGTTCCTCTCCTTCTAAGTTGTAACTGCTTCAGGCTTGAATATTTGTTTTCCATCCATCCAATCATTCAACAAATAGTCGTGAGTTCCTATGGTGTGCAACACTCTGTGCGAAGGTTCTTAGACTGATGGCTAACAACAGCCAGACATGCCCTGTCCTCATGGAACTTGTGATCTGATGGGAGAGATTAATCAAATACACAGAGAGTGAAATTAAAATCTTTGAAGGTACTGCAAACGAAAGATTCATGCTGCTATAACAGCATGTGCTGGCTGACCTAGTGAGGGGATGGGGTTGGGGAGGGTGTCAGGGCTGCTCTGGAAGCTGCTGGCTCTGAGGACTGAAGTACATGTGGACTTAACGTGGGAGAGCTGGGGGTCAGGACTGTGGGCAGGCCCACCATGTGCAGAGCTCTGGCAGGAGGGATTGGAAAGAAGGCCAGGGTGACGAGGCATGAGGAAAAGGGGTTGAAGAGAGGTCAAGATTTGGCTGGTGATTTAGGCTATGGTGCCTTCTAAGAACCATGAGTTTTGGACTTTTCTTAAAGAGCAATGGGAAGCCAGTGGAGAGTGTTAAGCATAAGATGGGCGAACAGCCCCGGTGTTGTCGTGTGCAAACTTATGAGCCAGTTAGAAAGGTTCTCTTGCTCATGATGGTGAGTAGCCTGCCCAGGGGACTACAATGGATTTGAAGAGAAAGGAGGGAGCAATATGGAGCATGAGGCCTGGTTTGTGGCTGGATGAATGAAGAGACTCATTTGGGAAAAATGGTTCTTGGGCTCTTGGCTTTTGTAAAAGAAATTCTTCTGTCTACATAATTTATCTCTTTTGGATCGTTTTTACTTTAGCTCATAATTCTGGGTTAGTTTTCTTTCTGTTCCTCTGTTATTGCTTTCTTTATTATTTAAATGAAATATTGGGCTCAGTTATCTATTGAAGATTGCCTTTTTTGTATGTTTATTGAGTTCCGTTATTTCATTATAAAATACAGAATATATAAAATAGATGTACAGTTCAAGGAATATTAATAAACTGGACATGCATGTACCTACAACCAATCTTAAGAAAAACAACATTGCCAGTTTCCTAGAGCAGTCCTAATTGTGCCTGCCCCTTCCCTGCCCCATAGCAACAACTCTGAGTTTTGTGTTAATCATTACTTTGCTTTTCCTTATCGTTTTGCCATCTACCCTGTTTCCCTGAAAATAAGACAGTGTCTTTTGCTCCCAAAGATGCACTAGGTCTTATTTTCAGGGGATGTCTTATTTTTCCATGAAGAAGAATATGGTACACATTTATTGTTAAATGAAAATAAAGGAAATTTATTACCTGTATACGGTACGGTAGTACGGTAGTTGTCAACACAAACCAGACAAACTGGTTGGGAGGGCCAGGCCTGCATGGGAGGGCAGTTGTGGAGGACCAGGCCTGCATGGGAGGGCAGTTGTGGGGGACCAGGCCAGCAGGGAAGGCTGTTGGGGGGACCAGGCCTGCAGGGGAGGGCAGTTGTGGGGGGACCAGGCCTGCAGGGGAGGGCAGTTGTGGGGGGACCAGGCCTGCAGGGGAGGGCAGTTGTGAGGGACCAGGCCTGCAGGGGAGGGCAGTTGGGGAGGACCAGGCCTGCAGGGGAGGGCAGTTGTGGAGGACCAGGCCTGCATGGGAGGGCAGTTGTGGGGGACCAGGCCAGCAGGGAAGGCTGTTGGGGGGACCAGGCCTGCAGGGGAGGGCAGTTGGGGAGGACCAGGCCTGCAGGGGAGGGCAGTTGGGGAGGACCAGGCCTGCAGGGGAGGGCAGTTGTGGAGGACCAGGCCTGCATGGGAGGGCAGTTGTGGGGGATCAGGCCAGCAGGAAAGGCTGTTGGGGGGACCAGGCCTGCAGGGGAGGGCAGTTGTGGGGGGACCAGGCCTGCAGGGGAGGGCAGTTGTGGGGGGACCAGGCCTGCAGGGGAGGGCAGTTGTGGGGGGACCAGGCCTGCAGGGGAGGGCAGTTGTGGGGGACCAGGCCTGCAGGGGAGGGCAGTTAGGGGGGACCAGGCCTTCAGGGGAGGGCAGTTGTGTGTGATTAGGCAAGCAGGGAGGGCAGTTAGGTATGACTGGGCTGGTAGAGGAGGGCAGTTGGGGGGGACTGGGCCAGCAGGGGAGGGCAGTGGCTCCCCCTGGAGCACAAAATGCCCGGCCTGTGTGTGTGGCACGTGTTAATTTCCAGAACGGTTCTGCTGGTCAGGGCCGTGAAAGCCGTGGCCAGGTGCGCCTTCGTGGAGCTGTGCCTCTTCCTCTTACACCAGCGAGTGGAGGCCCTTCCCACAGCTGGGCAGGTGAGCAAATGCTTGGATCTCCTCCAGTTTGTTAAGTGAAAATATCTCAGTGTGACTTCAGTTTGTATTTCGCTCATTTGGCTGAAGTTAGATACCTTTTTATATATTCCTTCTGGTCCGCTTGTATCTCTCATCCGCGCTCCGGGTGGAGCTGGGCGCCAGGCTGTGCTGTGCTGAGCGGCGGCTGTTTCTGTTTCACATCAGCCTCGGCTTCAGGGATGGCGGCGCTGGTGTTTGCCTACAGGCACTGTTGTTCTCTGTAGGTGAAGTTAGCCATCTTTGCTTTTCTTTTGTGGCTTCTGGGTTTTGAGTTCTGGCTAGAAGCCCCTTCCTCATCCTGGGAGCATAAAGGAAAGCTCCTGGCCTCGGGTCATGCGTGACCGCTCCAGTCAGTGGCTGCGGAGCGTGTCCGGGGTGTCATGTGAAGGGAGCATCCCGCTGAAAGCACTGCCTCTCTGTCCACAGGCCGGATAGTGAACACCTTCCTCTTCTTTCTTAACTGGTTCCCATTGCCTTCCTTTCTTCTTACAGGTCCGCCAGGCTGGCAGCCCTGGCAGAAGCCTTGAAGGAAGCGCCCCTGACCAAAGCGCAGCTGGGCCTGGAAGTGAATGAGCTGGAGGCGGCCGCCCTTCTGGTCCGCGAGGAAGAGGCCGCCCGCCCCGCCTCGCCGGCCCCCAGCTCCGAGGCCTCCGACGGCTCCGAGGCCTCCGATGGCAGTGCCTCTTCAGCCCGGACCACAGACCCAGACTCCGAGCCAGAGGGGCTGGCAGGCAAGGGAGCCGCTGGAGGAGGGTCCTTACAAGGCCCGGTTCTGGACAAAAGCAGCGCCCTGCGTGCTGATGGCCACGGGCTGTGCGGCCGCTCTCCCATCCCCGGAGCTGCTGTCCGCCAGGGGGCGCTGCCAGCCTTCGCGCCGGCCCCAGGGAGAGCGGGGCCTCTGATCCAGGAGCTGGGAGAACAGCTGGAGGCCGTGGTTCGACTCTCGGAGCCCCAAGGCTCCCCTGGGCCCCGCAGGGCACAGGCCAGCAGCGCCCTTCCAGGACGGGTGGGGAGGGCTTCACTGGCGGACGGGCACACGTCAGGCTTGGGTTAGCTACTGACTGAGGATTCTTTTCGCTTTTATAATACTTGTACTCTTCCTCATTGTATACAGCATGTCTCCAATGAGCATCCTTCCTGCTCCTTGAAAGTTCTGGAGTACTTTTACCAAAGCATAATTAACATCCGAAGAGGAAAGCAATGGTTCTGCGAGAACCCCGAGGGTGGGGAGCCCATTGATATTCTAATAGCTTTACCCAGACCCACTGGGCACGCAGGAAGCTGCACACGCTTCACATGTATGATGCCATCCATGTTGATGACACACACCACACCAGTCCTCTTTGCGATCAAGAGACTGTACTTACATCATCTCCCAGTGTCTTCCTGGCGCCCTCCCCACTGCCTCCCAATAAAGCTGTGGTGAATGTTTCTGTGCAAGCCTTTGTGTGGGCATGTGCTTCTCCTGGGAGCGGAATGACGGAGCGGTCAGGGTCAGTGTGTGTTTAACAAAGTAAACAACTGCTAAACTGCTTTTCTAAGTGGCTGTTCCATCTTACGTTCCCCCAGCTGTGTATGAGAGTTATAGTTCTTCCACATTCTTGTCATTACTTGGTATGGTCAGCTTTTTAAATATTTACCATTTTAGTAGGTGTGAAGCTGTATCCCATGGTGGTTTTAATTTGCCTATTTTAAGACTCATAATATTGAGCATTTTTTCATTTGTGTACTTGTCATTCACATGTCTTTGGTGAAATTTTCTATTAGAATACAGACATGAATTTTATCTCATTAGGTACTGAGTATGTATTACAAATATTCTGTACTTTTGTTTGGGGATGCAGTTAAGTTACTTGGAAACAGTTTGATCTTTATGGGTCTTGCTTTTGTAATTTTTTAGGCAGGCCTGGAAGAGGGCTCAGCATGGGACAAACTATGTCACAGGACTAAGGAAAGCGTTTCCCGTGCCCAATGAATTACGAGTTTTCCAGTCTAGCTGGTGGGAGCAGGTGCCTGTGTGAGTGCTGAGTGCTGCTCCAGCCTCACTGCGTGCTTATCAGCAGGTGTTCTCTCCATGTCCAGGGCCCTCTCCCAACTCCAGGCCAGTGTCCGGAGAATTCCCTCTGCAGTGCTCTGCACTGTCTCCTCTCGGTGCTCAGACCTGCCAGTTCCCGCTGCCTTGCTCTCCCTGAGCTCTCACCTCTGACCCCTGCACCCGAGCCACTGCTTCTGTCTGGTTGCCCCTCTCTGTGCAGCCTGGACAGCCCCCAGGGCAGTGGGTGAGCCTCACCGAGTTTGTTTTCCACCCCACAGGATCACTGCCTTTTGTTGCCTGATGTCCATTGGTTTGTGTTTTATTTCTGTTTTTGTGTTTTGGTTATTTAGGTGGGAGAGTAAATCTGGTCCCTGTTACTCCATCCTGATTGGAAGCGTAAATGTCCATTAATATTTTCTCATTTGAGTGTCAGCTCATAGGGAGTGGGGACTGGGTCAAAAATTAGTAGTTCGAATTATGTTGTAGTCTTCATGTGGCATGTGTTTGTGTATTATGTGTGGTAATGGTTTGTTACCGCTAAATCATCAATGCCCATGTGCTTGGTATTCATTCTGTGGAATGAATTAAATAAACCAATTTGCTTTGGGGGTGAGGGGGAAGTGATATGCATTAATCTCAGTAGCATTTTTATTTCAAGAAAGGCTCTGATACTTTACTTTGGGTTATGCAGGTTGAGAGTATTTGTATTCCCAATATAAATTCCAGTTGTCTTAACAGGCTGGTTGGGGTGACTGCCATTTGGCATGCGTGTAAACTCCTGAACACCAGCGGCATGATCAGAACGTGGCCAAGACTCTTCTCGGGCTCCCCACCACCCTGCCCCGATCATAGAGCCACCCTGATCGTTAGCCAGGCACAGGGACCCTTCCCGTGCATGAATTTTGTACACTGGGCCTCTAGTAATGATAATAATTTTAATATCTAGGTATTTTGAAATAACAGGATACTAAAACATTAATCTGAGTTTGCCTCATATGGAGAATCTACAGGATAGATTTGAATCTTATTAATTGAATATGTCTTGTATTTTACAATATTTGAAATATATTGTTAAAAATGTGAATGTATTACTAATCTGAGAAACATTAAGTAACACTTGCCACCTAAAATTTGAGGCATCTAAAAGTTACAAGTTCAAATTAAGTTGGGATAAATTATACAGTATGGTTATGTTAATAATAGAATGCATAAAGTATGGAAATTAATTTTTGAGGAAAATACTGCTTTTTCGCTGGAAAAATTAGTAGTTCAAATTATGTTGTGGTCTTGTGGTATGTGTTTGTGTATTATGTGTGGTAAATTTTCAGCTTTCGAATGGCATTACTAGGATATAATATTTTATTGGCCAGATTAAAAAATATTAAATACTTATAAATTAAGCAGAATTCTGTGGTCTGAACAAAATTTTTAATATTAAAACTGATTTAAGTTTGATTAATGTCTTTTACAGTTATTACCATAAAGTATGTTTTTTCCTAGATTTACAAAGAGTTTATTATGTAATCGTTTGGTTAAGTATATTTGACAATTTTTCCAAAAGTTAAAATGTTAAGACTTGAGCGAGGAGATGACTTTGAGTCATTTCAATGGGCCCTGGAATTACTCAAGAATTTATTCTCTCTTCTTAAAAGAAATATTTTTGAACTAATTTAATATACTTTAACATGGGAAGCTTTGTCAAATAAAAATTAATTACTTTTCTTTATATACATATATTTTGTTAAAATGAATGTTATAGAAATTATTGCTTCAGAAAGGAACTTGTAAAGATTCAGATCCAAGTTCAAAGAGGAAACTTTCAGGGGGAACATGTGTCAGGGCAGGGACACCAGGCAAGCCAAGAGTGATGATCCTCAGTGGGGCATCTGCCAGTGATGCTCTGGGTATTTGCATATTGGGTGCTTATGAATTATTTTCAGTGCTCAATAAACACCTGCCCCATTTTATAGTGAATCTAAAAGTATACAAATTTTATATTATTCTCTGTCATTTTACAGTAATTATTATTTACCAAGAAATAGTTGTCTTAGAACGTTATATTTTACAGATAAAGTTTTGTGTTTTTTTTTTTTATCAAATCTATAACCTTGCCACTTTTGAATTTAGTTATTCATGGGCGGCTGTTGCTTTACTCTGATGAATTTGCAGGTAGATTATGTCTTTAGAAAAATCCATGAAAAGGACTCTGACCTACTCTAACTTGCAGTGAAGATTTATAGAACTTCAAGGAATAACTGAATTAAAAAAAACAACTGGAGAATAACCAGGATAAACAAAAATAACCATGGGACTAAATGAATTGAGAATAATTATTCTTATGACTATGTTTAAAATATTGTTGATGTTTTAAATCTTTTGTTTTCCAAATATAAGGAAGACTCAACAGCATTGTAGGGACTAACAAATTAGTAACATTCATTTCACAGGAGACAAAGACTCAAAGACTACGACTACCCAATACGTTCATGAAAGAAGCTCTCCAACAGTGTTAAGGGCCTCCCCTTAGCAGGTGCCTAACCGTGAATGGACATTTGGCCATGGCTCTGACACTCACCTTGTGTGAAAACAGCATCTGTCTCCCTAGATTCCTTTATCTATCTGACGTGAAAAATTTAACTTGGGCATCTGATTAAAACTTTTCAACTAAAAGCAGGTGCTGGTGGGTAGTCACGTCCTAGGCAGGCACCTTCCCTGACCAAGGTCAGCCTTTTCCATCACTGAGCCTGTCCATTCCTTTTGCATCCACAGTAACATGTCCTTGTAAGTCAGAGTCATGTTCTCTTTCCCGACCCCAAAGCCAGGCGCCCTACGGAAGACCACAGCCCCTCCTTGTCGTGAGGAGCTGCTGAGTGCTGGCTGCCCCGCACTCACCTGTAAAAGAGGCTTGTGTCTATCATTTTACTTCGTATCCAGTCCCAGAAGCTTCCCCGCTGCTTTCTCCTGCCTCCCTAATCTGTCACCAGGGGTTTCCTGGGACCCATGCGTCTCCTCTTTTGATTTAATGTATAAAACAAGGTGCAAACTGCCTTCTCCAGAGCATTACCTCACCCATTGAGAGCCTGCTTCCTGGTGTCGATGAGTTAAGGAGCCTTTTCTATACAAGTTGAAGTTTAGATATCAACTCCCGGCATCTCCTGGCAGGCAGCAGACACTCCAAGGCAGCCAGGCCCGCAGCATCCAGAGGGGTGGCAGTCCCCTCCCCGGCAGCCGGCCAGTCTCCTCCTGATTGGCTGCTTTTCTCAGAGTCTTTGCGCCAGACAGCGGCCCCTCAGCCCATCGGGGCGGCGGGAGGGGGGCGATGGGAGGATGGGAGCAGGGAGCCCTCCGTGTGCGCTTGCCCGCCCTGCTGCTGGGCGTCGCACTCCCGCGGGGCAGTGTTCTGCCTCGCGATCCCCTCGAGTGCTTGTCTCATTCCTGCGACACCGTGGAAGGGCGTTTCTAACACCAGCAATTGTCAACTTCTTGGCTCAAATAAATTAAAAAATAAGCTCTTCACAGTGAGAAGGCTAAAAAGGGCTAATTCCAATGCAACCCTGATATTCGGGGCTAGTGATCTGAATCCACGCAGCAAGCTCAGTGCACATTCCTGATAGCCTGTAATTAAGTCCCTCTCTCCTTCCCAGACACTGGTCCTGCAGAGCCTGTCACTGTGGACAGTGCCTGCCCCGGAGGGGGGTTATTAACGCGGGCACCAGGCCAGACCCTCAGATATGGCCTGGAGACCCCCAACACCTGGGGCCTTCTTGCAAGGCCCTCGAAAAGGACCGAAAGCATAATCCATGTTTGCAGGACAGACCACAGGGAGGGAGAGATAAGGGAAGGCCCATCCTTGGCTCAGATTTGGAGGCTGTTCCCCAAGTCCGGCAGCGTACTGCACAGTGTCCCTCCTCTTCTTTGAAGCGTCCTTGGTTTTCTTGGGTCTCCTGCAACAACAGGAGGGTGGCTTGTTTGTTCTCACACCCAGCCCAGCTCCAGGGACACAGCGTCCACACCCACGGCATCTGCCCCGCTGTCACCGCCACCCGCCTCCTTGCACTGGTGCCAGGTCTGAAAGGCCCTTCCTGCCATGCCCTGTAGCTCATCAGACGCGACGGAGGGCAGGGCTGCCAGGCGCAGGACCATCCCTCTGCTCCCTTCGTCCTGTTCTTCTGCCCACACCAGGAGCCCGAGCTCTGTGCAGAGCGGCTTGGGCAGGCTCCAGGCTCCAGGAGACAAGGCTTCCGGTGCCGCCTCCTTCCTTGGCTGCCCAGGTGCGATTCCCAGCAAGAAAGCTCACAGCCCGGGTTCGCACCATAACTTACTGCAGTGTGGGAAGGAGGGCGCGTTCCTTTTGTTGGCTGCTCCCCTCTGGGCTGCACGGGACAGACTTGCTGCCCGGCTTCAT